TTAAAATTTTTTAATGGCTAGATTGATGAAGGGGCTTAGAGATCAAATTTATCTATAAAATATATTTTATGTCGGAACAATGATTGAACTACGTTTTTATTAAAATATGTTGCATAAATTTCCACCACGTGGGTACGTACTTTTGATTTCTAATCATATATAAATAAATGTGACCAGTAAACATTCTTATCCATTGTTTAGAAAAAGAAAAGTAATGTCTAATATTTATTATTTCATGACTCAAGAAAAAAAAAAAGGTTCTTGAACTTGATTAACAATTTCCTTCTGCTACGAACGTGTTAACAGTGGAAGTTGAACAAACAAAAGATACTGAGCTTAATATGGCTAAGAGGCCAGGTGTTGGCACGCTCGGGATAACTATCCGGCATAAATGCAATTACTATAGGATAATAAGGGTGATTATATTCTTTTTTTTTGTTAATTAAGGCGTGTTTGATACAAATATGTGACGTGAATCATACTCGAGAACATTGTAGTTTCCGGATGTTTCCATAAACCATTATAGTTTCGATATTACCCCTAAAGCAAATAAAGATACAATCGCGTATGTTTACGATAAACTAGCTCTCCAAAATGGGTTTAACGCCGTTTTTGACGGTAACACCTCAATTTATTCGGTATCTCCTTTAAATCTCGAGAATGAGAGAGGAGGGAACCATTTTGAGGTAAACGGAAGATTTCGAATAAAATTTTGAGATCTTACATATTTTTGCATTCAAAAAATTATTGCTGTTAAATTTGCTCCTTTCGTGACTAGATGCATATATCGCAGAGTGATAGTATTAGAGTTCGTAATGGTACTTATAAAGTTGTTATTCGTTTCGTTCAAAAACTTTCATTCGATGAACTCCAAAACTATGTTTCGGGAAGAAATGCCTCCATCGGTGAAGTTATTAAATGTATCATGGCGCTGAACGCGTTTATAAATTTTACCGTTCGCCGGAATTATCCTGCCATTGGAAAAAGTATTTTCCCACACCCAAAGCAAATCGCTCATTCTGATATTGACTTAAATCCAATAATTCTTCCTGGTGCACTTGAATTAAGACGAGGATTTTATCAGTCATTACGTCCCGTATGGAGTAAATATCAACGTTTTTAACCTTATAAATATGATGTCACGCCCAAGATTCTAAATAATTTTTTATAATTTTTCGTCACAGATACCTTGGCAATAAATCTAGATATTTGTGCAAGCGTATTTTATTTAGGGGGTCCCTTCTTAGATGTAGCTGCAAGGTTACTTAATAAACGTAATAAAGACGAATTTCGACAAGGGCTGTTATCACGTGATTGGACAATATTGTCAAAAGTTTGTTATTGTCTATTATTAAACGTTCGTATTATTAAATAAAATTTAAATAATAAACTTTATTAAATTAATAGTTCGTAAGACGTCTAAAAATACGTACCATTCATCGTGGTCAACGTAGGCCTGTTTACATGGTTCGAAAATTATCAACTGAACCGGCTGATCGATTATATTTCAAAATAAATGAAGCGAATGTTTCTGTCGCCGAGTATTTCTTTAGGACGTATAATCGTCGGTTAAGTTTTGAAAATTTACCATGCCTTTTGGTAAGAAACGACGTATATTTACCACTCGAAGTGTGCGACATTTTACCTGGTAAAAATATTGGCATTCAATCTTTATATCAAAAAGATTCTTCTTTTTGGAAAAAAATTAATCATATTTTTATGGAAAACATTAGGCCAACGATTCGATGGCCAATTAGCTGATATTGCCCATGCAGATATGATTAAGCATACTTGTATTAAACCCGCAGAAAGGTTCAATCGTATCTCAAAAGCAGTTAAGGAAATCTTTAAACACAACAGAGATCCGCATATAAGCTCTATTGGCATGGATGTTGATGGAGAAAATATGACGATTGATGGTAATATTAATAATGTTATTTACTTGCGATACACATATATACTTTATGTTTACTTTTTTTAAACAACAAATATTATAAACAAATATTATGCATTAAGGCCGCGTGCTTACTCCGCCAACAGTCGAGTTTAATTCTAAAAGTGTAAATCAAACACATGTCCCTAAAGATGGCCGATGGAACCTTGTAAATAAAATAGTTGTTCAGGTATTATTATAAATAAATTATTTATTTTTCTGTTAATATTTAATTGATCTGTCTATGTGATGTTTTCAGGGAAAAAGTCTTGAAAATTGGTCGGTATTAGTTTTTGGTACAAGAGTGCCAGAACAAAGTATAGACCAGTTCATGCGACAATTTCGAGAAACTGCTAGTCAAAAGGGTCTGGTACGACTATTTCACAGTAGAATTAATTAATTCGAAAAAATATACTATGTGCTATTATACTTACTCGCGGATCTTAGAACGTATCAAACAGACCGAAGATATCGTTTACTAATCCCATAGGAAATGTTCAACAAGTAAAATCTAGATTTATATAAACTTTTTCATATGCTGATCAGGTATATATATATTTATTTATTTATTTATTATTATTATTATTATTTTTATTATTTGTTTTATAGGCTTTATATCAAGCTTGCTTGGATGCTCAAATCAATAAAGCATTGCCTCCGCAGCTAGTTTTCTGCATAATGGAACAGACCGGTCCTCTATATGGTGAGATAAAACGCGTAGGTGATACTATTTTAGGCGTACCCACACAAGTTCTCTTGTCAAAACTTGTCACAAAACGTGGAGGGCTTGATCAAGTTTGTGCAAATATATCCCTTAAAGTAAATGTGAAGTTAGGAGGGAAAAACAGTTTATTGTCCAGAGGACAACTAAATTTTGTCTCTCAAGTCCCGGTAAGAATATTCTTCATTTACATCTTAAGTCCTTTTTTTAATATTAATATTAATATTGATTGGTTATTAGACAATGATATTTGGAGCAGACGTGTTCCATCCTGGCAGAGGGGAACGTAAACCCAGTGTAGCCGCTGTTTGTGCATCCATGGATGTAGACGCCATTGTATATTCTGGACGTTATAGCGTTAATAAAGTACCCCGCAATGAAACCATAGAATGTCTTGAAGATATGGTAAACGATTTGTTTCGTGCCTTTTGGGAAAGAAATAAATCTCTTCCAAACCGTATACTCTTTTATCGTGATGGAGTGTCAGAAGGTCAATTTCAACATGTGCTAAATATTGAAGTGAAAGCAATTAAAGCAGTTATATCACGTTGCTACAAACCTGAGTCGGAACCTACTCTTACGTTTATCATCGTACAGAAAAGACACCATACACGGTAAAAAAAAAAACTTTAAATTTTATATTTTATTGAAAATGAACTGTCTCATTCTTTATGATTAGGTTCATGCCTGAGAATCCTCGTGATGGCGACAGACTTGGAAACTGCATCCCTGGCACAGTTGTCGATACCTCAGTAGTTGTTCCTCATGAATTCGATTTTTGTGAATAATTTTATAATGACTTGTCTTTCTATACTTAATTAGCTCAGTTATAACAATCATATTTTTTTTCTTTAGTTTTACAATCTCATTGCTGTCTACAAGGAACAGCTCGTCCTATCCATTATAATGTTTTGTATGACGAACATAATTTCTCGGCTGATGAAATACAAACACTTACATATAGACTCTGTTATCTTTCGGCGAGGTTGTACACAATAATTTTCTTTTTATTGCAAAACTTAGTTGAGATTATACTAACCAAAAAATTTATAGGTGCACGTTATCAATATCACTCGTACCACCTGTGTATTACGCACATTTAATTGCAAATCGTGCAAGGCACTATCTTAAGTGGGAGGAAGAAAGTTCAGAAATAAGCGGTGCGAGTATATCTTCAATTTCAGACGTTAAAGATGTGCTACAAAATTCCATGTTCTTTATTTGAACACATATATGAAAAAAAAAAATTTTTGAAAGTTATTAACATAAAATCACAATATAAAATTACAACTTATTTTTTTCAATCTTTGCGATACAACATTTTCCATAGGGACTAGATTTATTCGAGTCTCATGATTACTAAAAAAATGATTAATAAAGACATTTTGCAAAAAAATCATCTTAGCTTTTTTGAGTCTTATAATGAATTTTTCATCTTATAAATTCAAAGTATTTGTAACGTTAATAACATAATCAATTTGTTAATTTGTGCAATTTCGTAACTTGGTTATTAGTCATATACTGTAATTATCAAATACATGGCTCGTTATTCGTTAATGAAAAATAATCTTTTGACAGTGTTATTTTTTTTAATATAGTAATGATAGGGCGCAAACAATAGTTAATTTGCTACGAGTAGCAGATCATAAGCACCAGTGTTGAAAATTCGGCACAAGCATTTTGTGCAAGAAATTATTTTATTCAGGAATGTTATTTTATTTTTTTGTGCAATTGCACAGTAATTGGTAATTTTTGTGCAAAAAACAATACATGCACAACGAATTTTCAACACTGATAAGGGTCTTGTATATGGCAGGAAAATGCATAGCATTATGGGTCCAGAGCGCATCATATGGTGATCATATTATTACACAAATTATAAATTTGGATTTAATTTACCACTTTTTGTCAGCCCACGTGACCAATTTACATTTCTGATGTGATATTTATGTTGTTTATGTAGATGCATCAAAAAAGTAACTATTATGCATCAAAACGTAACTTTTATATCACTTTGTATACAGAGCGTAGCGATGGACAATTATCAAAAATTTTTGTATATCATGTGGAGCTAACATATGTAAGAATAATTGTGGTACGTACCAAAGCTCATTTTAATCCATGCATTTTATTACTTGTAAAACATACAATATTTATTTCACAGCATATATATTTCAAAGTAAAGAAAATTCAGCACTATACTTTAAATACTTTAAAAAATCAATTACTATAATCGTTATACAGTATACCAAGCAACTTTATAATAAAGTAGAGTTATTACCCGGGTCACGGGTCAGAAATTGATATAACCCGGGTTAAACGGGTCAAAGATTTAAAATAGGTAAAATTTTAAATTACTCAAATTCCGAAATTATGCATCAATAAAAAACGTTATTATGCATTAGTATTAAATACGTAGAACGCTTTTTTTTTTTATTCCAGTATCTCTCTCTCTCCAGGTGCACATTTTCATGCGGATATCAGCGTTTGGATCAATCTGGAATGCTAACATGATTTATTTCTTTATTTTAATTTATTTTGGTTTATTTAAGCGTACTTTATTGATTTATTTATTTAATGATATATATACTGTATAAATATAACAATTTTCTAAAATAATATCACAATGTTCATTTTTATTTAAATCTTCAAGTGATTTTCCTATCTCCTCTCATTCTTAATGCAAATGCATTAGTTGGTTCGAATTTTAAAGATATATTTAAATTGTATATATCTCATTGTTATTT